GTCATCACCGCTAATACTACTACAGTATCGATCCGCGTCAAATGAAAACTGGCCATTCGATCTTCTTTTCATCCAACGTGGTGAATGAAGAAAAATGGCGTTGTGTTTTCCCTCCAAGGGTGTCACCGCTAATAACATGTTGTCGCCGCTAAAACCCTAGCGTCGCCGTTAAATCGCGTCGCATATAACCCCCCACTATGTCTCTTTCGTGTTCGTTCTGTCTCCTTTCATTCCCCAAACGATTACACGCGACTACACATCGTCTCCTATTCCGACGACTTCGTTTGTGCCACAGGACTTATCTCCGGCAACCATTACCGTCAGCCACCAGTGGAGCTCCATTATTACCGGCGAGCATACACTCATTTCTGGTAACAGAAGTTCGATATAATGTCCTATTTCTCCCTTATTTTCTATTCAACTTTTGTTTTGGTATTTTCTTTACAGGTTTTAAGTATTTAATTTGAGGTTTTTGGCAACTATTACCACCGGCCACCAGTTAATTGTTGTGCGTACAATCCCGTGGGCAATATTAAACCTAAATTATACTGATCCAGCACTCATTATATCTGCTGGTATGCTCCAAAATTAAATTTTTTCAACTGATTTTAGATAGGTATAGTATGATTTTATGAAAATAATAATAATAATAATTGTTTTTATGCCTTGATCTTTAGTGGTTGTATGTCTATATAATTTGCTTAATAATTCCTGCTTTGCATTGTTGATTGGAATTGCATGTTGTTCTTGCTCCATTTGGCTTATAAAAGTTGTAACGATTTTCAATTGAAAACGTTATTGTAATTAACTTAAACTAATAGTTGGCTAAGATAATCAATATATTAATTAAATAGAAAATCAAATTACATTAATTTTTAAATTAAATTAGTTATAAGATCAAATTAAATTAATTTAAAAATTAAACTAATTGTTAGGATATTATGGAAATAAAAAGAATCAAAGGTAATAAAAACGTATGTTGTGATAAACTTAAACATATATGCACTATTGTGGTATTTTAGTTTTAAACTTATTCATAATCATAAATTATTTTGTAAATCTTATAATTTTGCAGGGTAACTAACTTTTATTCATATTGTATTTATGTATTGTACATCTTTTAATTTTACATGCTACAAATGAGGTTTACATGGGCGATATTCTTTGTTATGATGGCCGATGTTATAGGTCGTGGTCACGATGGTGATGGATCTGGGGATCCACCACCTCCAGGAGGCTTTGATCGCGGGCAGCATGAACAAGATAGTATCTTTTATTATAATATATTTATTTGCTATTTTTATAAATTTATTATAAGTTATCGTGACTAATATTTTTAATTGTATTTTTTCAGTCGAGCTTCCAAAGAAAAGGGGTTTGTCAAACAACATATAGCTTGGAAAGTGGATACGGGTAAACAAGGGAAAGCCTGTGGATTTGGATTTCGACACGAAGATTACATATTCCCCTGTCGGGAAGCCTGCCAATTGGTTTGCATATGTAATTGGGAGGTATTTGTGGAACAATGTCCCATTGAACGTGTCTGGTTGGGACAAGGTTTCCCCTGTGTTAAGGAATGCAACAGTTGTGCATATAAAGGTAACTTGGCTAATATTTGAAGTGTAGCTGTGATTGTTATTTAATTAACTAACTTTTTTGTATTTGTAGAGTAAGTTTGATTTGGATAAGGTTAACTTGGATTCGGAGTAAGCGGTCTAACGTCAAGTGATACAAACAAATGTTTTGAAAAAATATTAGGTGTTCAACACGGACATATTAGAGGCGTTGGGGGTAAAACTCCTACTGTTGTGTCTATGTACGATCACGAACAACCGATGACACAAGAACCACCACGATCACAACTAATTGTTTGTTTAAGTTGAAAAGTATAATGCTATAATGGAAAAACAAAAAAAAAAGTAAGATGCTATAATGATATGTTGGTAATTGTTTGTTTAGTATATAGTACAACACTGTAATGGTTTGTTGATTATAGTTTGATATGTTGATATGTTGTAGTTTGGTACTTTTTGGAAAGTGGAATACTATAATGATATGTTGGTTATGTTTTGATATGTTGATATTTTGTTGTTTGGTAATTTTTGGAAAGTAGAATGCTATAATGATATGTTGGTTATGAATTTGATATGTTGATATTTTGTAGTTTTCTAATTTTCGGAAAGTAGAATACTATAATGATATGTTGATATTTTGTAGTTTGGTAAAATTTTGAAAGTATAATGCTATAATGTTATGCCGATTATAGATATGTTGGTATTTTCTTATTTTGGTAATTTTTGAAAAGTATAATACTATTATGATATGTTGGTAATATATATTGTTTTCTTTGTAGTTGGAAATGCTGCAAACGATATTGAATGACATGACATGCTCTGCGATATTGGAAGAGTGATTTCGTTCATTGCCACCACCAAATAATGAAGAAAATAATGAGAGTGGTGATGAGGAGTAGGAATTTTAGGATTTTATGAAATGTTTGTTTAGAAGAATATTTTAGGTTTTATGAAGTAATCTTTTGGATTGTGGATTACTATTTTATAAATGTTGTATTGTTTTTAGTTGTGTATGGGTTAAATGTAAAGGATTTTATAAAATTGTGGATTAATATTCATAAAATTGTAATAGATTTTATAAATGGTAATATTAAATAAAAAAAATGAACAGTGTTTTTGCGGCGTCGCCTTTAGCGGTGACAATAAAGTATTAGCGGCGACCAACCAATAGCGGCGACAATGAATTATTAGCGGCGACATGACAATAGCGGTGATATTCTGTATTAGCGGCGACTAAAATGGCGTTAAAGACGAAGCATTAGCGGCGACGTATTTGCAGCAACAGGTCGCCGCTAATACCTTTAGCGGCAACAAGCCTTATCTTTTGCTGCGTCAATCGTTGGCGCTAATGCCCGAAATTCTTGTAATGTATGTATTTGCGGCGACATATGACTATTAGCTGCGACACCCTGGAGAGAAAAATCAGTGCTTTTTTTCGTTCCTTTACGACCCTTGGATTGAAAACAAATAGAACGGATGGGACTCGTTTGACGGAGATCACTATTAGGTTACCATTAGCAGCGACGTAGGGCATCAACGGCGATATGTAACACATCAATTACATGTGGCCGCAAATGCCCTGCGCAGCAACATTTCTTGTAGTGAAGTTAAGGCCACACATATTCAGAGGCAAGGGTGTTTTTTTCCTGAAACGATCAATACTAGCTAGAAAAAAACATCAGTACTGCTTAAAGACATACAACACATGCATAGACATCACATGCCTAAAAAAATTATCTTTTTGGACTATTGTATTCGATTTCTTGTAGATCACCGTTATCAGTTAATTATCACTGTAAAATAAAATGACAAACATCACATTTAGTGTTTTCTCGACTAAAATCGTTTATTTTGACAAAATATAATGCTTTCTTTCTGGTTAAACAAAATTACAATGAGTCCAAAAGTTAAGTTCTACAAATTATTTTGTGAAGAACACATTCCCTTGCAGATTCTAATTAATATGTGTCGTAAGAACATCAATCGATAATGACTTTTACTACGAAGGTCAATCTTATCTCTATACAAATTGCATGGTGTTTAAGGGATGAAGAAAATGCATATGCTATTGCTAATATTTATTATTGCTGTGTTACACCTCAAGAATGCTAAGAACTGATACAAAATTATTTCATACATCAATCAATATCTATATATAAAAGTATACATATGAAAATTTGAGTTTATATGATGGAAGGTTAACCAACACTTTAATCGAAAACAAAAAAAATAAAACCATCTTGATTTAAATAAGATTGCTCCATTTTGGGTTCTAGTTATTCTTAACGCAGCAAATGAACTCAAGAACGTAGCGTGATGTCTTCTTATGCCTGCAAAGTTCGAATGATGCTTCGAGAATATCAACATCTACAAACGATTTCACTCATTTGTGTGGTTCATGCCCACCATGATCTTCTGAAGAAAAAAACTTAGGGCTCATGCTCAAATGAAACGGTCGCATCCCTTGGTTTATTGTGTAGAGAGGTGGCGTGAAATTAGAACTTGAAGAAGAACTGAGCATTTGGAAGTTTAGTTGTTTTGGATCGAACTCACCGGAGTTGTGATTGTGTGAAGGGAAATAGGACTGAGTTTGAGGCGGTGGTTGTGGTGGAGGATACAGAAGAACCTGAGATCCCGACGGAATGGAGGGCAAAGCTGATACGTTCATATTGAAGTTATGAACAGTGTCGCCATGTTGATGATGAAATTGAGATAATGATAAATTAGAAGGATCCCATTTGAGGAAAGAACTGTTTGGAACGACATTGTTTATCAAACCTGGTAAATTCGAAGAATTAGGGTTTCTTCCAAAGAAATTACTAGATTGAACAAATGTCCCATGTTGATCATGCTTGTTTCTTTTATCTTCTGGATCAAGATTTTCGCCATCTTCACTGGTGTCTCGTGCAGTTGCTTTTGATCTATCAGGGTTCCAGTAATCCTCCCAATTCAGACCATTAACATTACTTTTAACCTCTTCAGATTGTGAACAAGCACTTAGCATTGCTTGAAGATTTTGTCCGAAGCTTCCTGGTGGGATTTGGAGAGGAGGGAGTTCATCGATTTCATGTTTAGCTGCATCAAGTAACCAATCGACAACTTTACTCGGTTGATTGAGTCCTAAACGATCTTGAAGATCATACAATTGGATAGCAGTGGGAACTGAGAGTCTAACTCGCCGATCTCTTAACCCTCTAACTGTACAAACTTTACTATGTCGATCTTTTCCACCAAAAGCTCTTGAAACTCGAACAATTCTTGGATCTTTCAATCTGGACCATGACGATGTGGTTAAGTTTGATTTAGGTACAATCTTGCTGACATCACTAGATCCTTCTTGCTTGGTTTCGTGGTTTGATTCTCTTAAATTTGAAATATTCATGTTTCTTTACTCATAACTGATGCAAAAGCAACCCCTTTTTTGGTTCAAGATTCAAGAAGAAGTGTCTGAAAGCAGAAAAGAAACTCATAATTAAACTCGTAAATGATAGAAAAGCATGTAAAATCAAAGCTTTTAACCCTGATTAGGATGAAGAACAAAGTACCCATTAAGTACTATGAGTACTCCATGGCTTCTTTTTATTGTTCTTTGCACATCACACATAAAATAAGAAACGGAAGCTGAAATATATGTATAAATAATCACTAGAAAGTACATGGATCAGATAGACATATGAAGGAAACTTACTTGGACATAGATTTCAGGTACTTTTTTCCAATATTCAGCTATATTTCTTGAACTAAACTTCACTAGCTTGCTATTATAGTTGAAAACAAGCTTGTTTTAGCCGAATCTAGAGAGAAAGTCTATAATTTCAAAAGTACTTGCTTAAAAGAGAAAACCTAACTGTAGAGGACATGAGTTTAGATAGAATTCATGATAGAAATGAGTAGAGAGAGCTTCGGAATGTTGCAACTCAACCAACCATGGCCAATTGGAATGAGTTTTTAGTAAAGATAAAAGCAATGACTCATACGCTGCCACGTGTCGTACATTCCTTCGGCATCATCTTTAGCTGTCGATATCTTATCGGAGATTATTTTCGTCACGCGATAATGTTTATGACGAAATACCCATTAGTAAATCAATCAATTTTGATAAAAATGATCCTCACTTTCACTCTTTCTCACATTCACTACCAGCTAAAAACCTCAAAATTATCCCTAACAAGTATAACCAGAATAACCAAATGAAAGAATGTTACTTTCAGCTAATTTAATGGTGTGATGTGGTTGAGAAATGATTGGATGGATGGTTAACAAGATACCCAAATTTCTCTTCTTAAGGTTAAGTTACATTCTTTAACAAAAGAGCAAAAATGTAGCTAGGGTTTGTGGGGATAAAATAGTGAAAGAAAAAGCAGCATAATTACTTCTATGGGACCATTCTGAACATATTGAAAAGTTGTGTGTAGTGCTTTATCGGCAGTTACAAATTAAAGCTAGGGCATTGTTTTATTGAAGTTTTGTAGATCACATGGTGCAAAAGACAGATGGATAGGCACGCCTGTTATATTTGGGAGAACTTATTTATCGTATAATAACCGGTTATATTGTGTGTCATTATATTTTCTATAGTGACATATCTAGTCCATATGATTAATTGTATTATAGAATTAATTAATGTTTTAAAAAACTATTTATTTAATTGAAACAGTTTGGTTGTCGATTCAACTTAGACTGTTTCATAAAAACTAGCCACAATCCTATATCAATCTTAATAATTAACTAAACATAAAATTTACAAAATTTAAAATAAATCACAAGTAAACTATTGTAGATTTACAAAATATAGCCAAAATATTTTTTTCTTCAAATCGTGACATTTCCAAAAAATATGTCATATAACCTTATATGGATGGGTCTTTGTTATTATTATTATTTATTTTAATCTTGGTTGTGTCTAGTTTCGTGATTTACACGCTTGTTATCATTACGTAACTTCAAACTACATTAATGTTATTTAAATAATTAGTTTCCTATATCAATTAGTCAATTGAAAATGACTTGATGGTAATGTATATATGCAATGGTGATGACACATTACAAAATCTATGGATATATATGATGACATTTACAAACTCATCTTCTAGGCAGACGATAAAAATTTCCTAGATCTTTTGAGTATATACAAAATCCTTAAACATTTGTAAATTGGAGAAATTAAGATATTTACACCTACTAAAAAGCTTTTGTGGTCAGCCTGGCAAGTAGCAAGGGTATGAAGTTGTTTGGTATTCAATTATTATATTAATCCAATCTTGGGTTAATTCAAATAGTTCTCAACCCATATATTATTGCATCAAATTAATTAAGTACATTGATGTTGTGATAAACAAATTTCAATTATGTAGTCAGATACATTGATTATATAGGGTAGTAAGTTATGAAAATAAAGGATGCAATAAGTGAAAAAGAAAGTCAAATTCATAATTAATTGAAAGTTATAATTATGGGCTTTTGAGTATGAAGATAATAATTACAAAAGGAAGGAGTCATGTTGAGGTGTATGAAAGCAACAGTAGGAAGAGACAGTACCCTCTTGAATTATGAATGAGGGACCAATTTACTTACATATACTTGTCTATCTTCTTCCTCTTCCACTAATTCAGGACCACTTCTGCTTTCTTCCTTTCCACAGAGATTTGCATGCAGCATATTCAACTCTCTCTCTCTCTCTCTCTCTCTCTCTCTCTCTCTTCTCTCTCTCTCTCTCTCTCTCTCTCTCTTACTTTATATGGATTATCTATAGGTTTTATCTTTGGATTTGCGGTTTGGTACTAGAACTATGCTTAGATTGACACTCGCAACTTGGATATTAATAGTGTATTTGCATGTCTATAACTATAAGTGCATTGATGAAGGATATATATAAAGAGAGAGAGAAGGATATGGGCATGGTGTGTAGTGAGAGGGATAGAAAAGGAAAGAAAAGAAAGTGATTTTGGCTTGGTGTATTTGACCTTATCTAATGATTAGAAACTGCAGAGTGATGATTTTGGTGTGTGGTTTCTATCAATTAGTTAGAAGAAAAAATATACATCTATGACTTTTTTACGAGGAGTAAGCACAAAAATTTGCTAGGTTTCTATTTCCTTTCAAAGACTCGGGAAACCACGTGCCATGGTGTGGATTCCCGAGCGAAAGACTCTGTTATCTGTTTGTGGACATGTTCTAATTGAGGACAGCCCGTGAATATTTTGAATTTTAGCATATAATTAAATCTTAAAGTTATCGACGTCGTATGAGAACAACCTACGAACGTTTCAAGTCTATAATCTTTAGGTTGTAAAAAAAATAATTTTTTAATTGAAATGTTTTAAATACTATGAGTTAATAGTCCGATGAGATTTTTTTTACTAATGTTGTTATATCGCATACACAATAATTTATGATTTATAGAATTGTACAATAAAACATTTTAAAAAGCCAATGTTTAGTTTAGAGAAAAATTGTTATGTAAAAATCATCTACCGATCTTTAAATCGTATTATTAAATTATCTAAAAGTTTGTTCACATCAATAAATAAAAGAATTGGAGAATTCAAAGATGTAGTTGGTGTGGATTTTATAAATATCTGTACCGTTTAATATGTTTGTTTGTGCGATTTTTTATAATCGCATCTTTCTTCTTAATAAAATACTTTGTAATCCGTGTTTAAGTTTTCTTCTTGTAAAATTTGGCCAATGTGATTTTACCATGCTGACATTCCTATATCTATATGATTTCCTTTTCTTTTAAATAATACAAAAACATCCATACATAATTGTTATAAATCCCTTTATATATCAATGTTTTTTTGAATAATTATTTCAATCCTAAATTAACCAACTATATCTAAAATTTAAGGAATTAATTGTGAATAAATATCGTTTTATACATTGTACTAGTTTTGCATATTAGTTTTTTAAATTTTAAATTATCTTCATATCAAATATTTACAGAAACTGATATCATCTCAAATCCTTTTTATAGTACATACCATAATTTCCTCTATATACACATCAATTCTTTAATTCCTGTAACTTATTCATCACTAAGAAACAAAAACATGTTGCTTTAAAGTAAATTATTGTTGAATATTAGATTAGTGTTTTATATTCATCATCTTATACAATGAAAACGTCTATATTATGATGGGTTTTAGTCATAAGAACATCCTATGTACTCATACAAACCTTAATACTTGGATCTAGGTTTCTCTATTGTATATGGAATTAACCAAGACCATAAACCCTACATCTAGCATATGATAATCGACATTAGCATAATAATGGGCTTAAGATATTACCTTGATTGTTATGTAGCAATAACAATCACAATTCCTTCTTGTAATGACTTTAGAAAGCTTAGAGTCACAAATGTCACTCCTCTAATGGTTCACAAACACCAAAAGCAAGAGGATGAAGAAGGGAAGAGAAGGAGGCTGCCCAAAAATCGTCCAGAACCCTAGAAGGAGGCTTGTCCACGTTTTTGGGGCTTAAGGATACTATTTATACATGTAGGCTATTAGGGATTTAAACTAGGAAACCCTAATCTGACTGCTTAAGCCCTAAGCAGCCCATGGATTCCTTTCTTTAAAGCCTTGGACGATTTCTTATGGGTTTCCCCATAGAATTCGTCCAACCTTATAATATAAGATAATCCATAGCCCAATTGCAATTATCTTATAATTACAATTCCAGTCCCTTAAGTTTAATTAATCTCTTTTAGTCACAAACTTAATTCTTATTAATTCTTGACTAATATTAATTAAACAATATGATTTCTCCTTTAATATATTATTCCCATAATATATTAATAAATCATATTTAATCCTTTCTCTCCATAATTCATCCTATCAAGTTGCTTTGGTGAAGGCAACCCAAAAGGACCATGCACCATCGGGTCAAGTACATACCAAAATAGTTATGGACTTAGACACTAATCCAACAGTCTCCCACTTGGATAAGTCTAATAACTATTCTGCGTATGACTTCAGATCCTGATCTGCAATCGTAGCTTTCCAAAGCCGTTGTCAACTCTGATCCTATCAGATACGCGTGTCCTTTAGATAAGGGATCATATATTCCTCCATTCTAGATATCGTATAAGATATGATTTCAAATCATTCTTTCTGTACTATTTCTCGATTTCCGATTTATGACGACTGACTAATTGAACAAATCAAATTAGCCCTAGCCCGGCTAAGCATTTACGTTTGTCATCACTAAATCATCGAGGGGCCCAAAGATATCGCTTTTATCCTACTTTGGATAAAAGGAACGGATAAACTTTGACTCAATGTTCGCTTGCACTCACTTACCGAATCACACACAACAATATGTTTTATAACACCGAGTTACTGTTGCGTTTGCATATCATCAATGTGCAACCGACTCGCAAGATACAACTCACACATCTCGGTTTCAAGAATATAAGATGTTATCGTCTCACCAATCACTCGTGATAAAATCCATGAAGTGATCCAAGTGAGCGTGGGTTTAATCCAATGCTCAAATCATATTCATAAGCACTCATGAACGTTGCAGCAAACATTTGCTTATGTCTAATGCTCTTTAGACAATCCACACACCAATTCACGACAGTCTTCATTCATACCTACTTCCAACATATGAACGACTGTGGCCCGTTTGAATAATTTGACTGTTCTTAACCAATTAAATTATTCAGGAAGTCAAAACATGCAAAGTGAAACACAAGAATAATACTAATCCCATATGGCCTCAAACCTTTGAGTATAAATAAAACACCTTTTATTTATCACCATATCGATTACTCATTATTTGTCGTTTCAGGTAATCAACTTCTTACTTGAATTACAACACTTGTCCCATGCTCTCATCATTCACACAATGTTTACCTATGGTTCTTAGTTTGTGAAATAGATCAAATGAACACATTTCCAATCATACTCATTTCACAACTCCAAATCCTTTTTTCATAAGTGTAAGAATATCAAATTCTTGCTACTTATACAATATGATAGATTCTAACATTTTATGCAAAGATCCTTTTGTAATGTCATTGCACTAAAGTCACAATGAATATTGCCAATGAATTACAAAGTTCTCTATCGGAAATTATGTCACACCCCGAAAACCAAAGGCGGAAACGTTTCCGGGGCGGACTCCACGTTAAGTATCAAATCCAATGCACATAGTAAAGCAGTAATCACAAAACATTACATTACATAATATTGTTTACATCTGTTTGCAAGTAAAGTTGTATAGGTGTTTTATACATATATGATATGAACAAAAGTAAAGACGAGTCTTCGGGACGCTCCGTTTTCTCCAAAAGGTTGCGATGTACCTGTCTAACGCTGACCTGAGAATACAAGCAGTTTGAAAATCAGCATAAAGCTGGTGAGTTCATAAGCAGTTTAGTTTTGAAAAGAACGAGTTTCCTTTGTTATCTAAAAAGTTGTTGATCAAGAAAATCCCATATTTTCTTATGAAAACGGTTTGATTATCCCTTGTTATAATTTCGAAAATGGTTGGTTATATCATTCCAGGAAGATCCCATATTTTCCTTATAGTTTTAGTTATTTGTTTGATACTTTATCCGTTTATGTGTTGTTATACTATCCAGGAAATTCCCATATTTTCCTATGTGTTGAGTTGTTTGTTCGTTTTTAAATTCGTTACTAACAGTTATATTAACCCAGGAAAATCCCATATTTTCCTATGTGTGGTGGTTGGCTCTTAGGTCTGATTTCGTAGTACTAGTAATTAACATGTGAGTAGTATTAGTTACGTGTTTTAAACCCTTAGTTATTCTACATTCAAATGACTATTATCTACTAACTTAGTTGTATTTTCGAATATTTGGAATCACACAGAAGCGTACATTACAGTATTTTTGAAGTTCTGTTGTTTCCAAAAGAGTACATTATTCATATATTCGAAGCTCTATCGACATTCTGAGGCGGATATATTCGAAACTCAGTAGAGGTCCAGAGGAGTATTTTCGCATTCGTTGTCGTATTCGTAGTCGTAGTCGTATTCGTATTCGTAGTCGTATTCGAAGTCGTAGTCGTATTCGTATTCGTAGTCGTATTCGTGTTCGTAGTCGTATTCGTATTCGTAGTCGTATTCGTATTCGTAGTCGTATTCGTGTTCGTAGTCGTATTCGTATTCGTAGTCGTATTCCTATTCTTAGTCGTATTCCTATTCGTATTCGTTAGATTACATTCGTATTCGTATTCGTATTAGATTACATTCGTATTCGTAGTCATATTCCTATTCGTATTCGTACTAAATTACATTCGTATTCGTATTCGTATTCGTATTAGATTACATTCGTATTCGTATTCATACTAGATTAGTATGATTTCTTATTTAAAGAGAATATAGTTATAACACTTTTAAAAAGAAATCTATATTTAACCTGCAATTCGAAACGTTAGTTATCACAATATTTGGAAATCAAGAACATTTAGTAAGTAAAACCATTGAGTTGAAAATCATTTTTAAGTACAAAATACACTTGTACTTATTGCTTGTATCCCCCCCTCTGAAAACATTGAAAACA